GAGTACTCTGTGGATAAAAAGAAAATGAATCAAAGTGAGACAATCCTTGCCCTCAAGGCACTTCCATTCTAATTCTTCTTATAAAAAGGGACACCAGAGTAATGGCTAGGAAGGGGGAAACAAAAACAAAACAAAACAGAAAGTCTCCAGGAGAAATGAGAAATTAAATTATTTGCCCCTGAGTCAAGTACATGTTAGAGTGAGGACTTGACACCAAGTATGCCTAATGGCAAGCCTGGCTCTCTAACCAATTTACCACACTGCTTCCATTAGAAAATTGAACACACACACACACACACACACACACTACATTCTTGTGGTTTATGTACATACAGTTGCTATTTTGGGGAACAAACAGGAAATAGCACAGGCTTTTCACAGACTAGCAGAGCAAGACTTTTTTTTCCCCCTTCCCCTTAATGTGATGAGACAGTGGACAGGGAACCAAATTGTCTTTTGTGTTTGACAGTGATAGCATTGGCAGACTTTATTGAAGACAGTCCTTACCACTGCCTGTTAGGCCTATCTTCCCCACGATGACCACATCCACACCTAACTACTTACCTCATGGTATTGTCATGAGGACAGAGTTACCATCTTACCTTACTTTCTACTCACCTCACCTTATCTCTCAAAATGAACCACTCCTTGAAAATGAACAAGAGGACAGACGGATGCCAAGAAGACAGTAAAGTCAAAAGACATGCATTGCATTAATAGTTATTTTATATGTACCACTGAGATAAGGATTTTTTAAATCGACAATAAAAAAATTACAAATCCAAAACCAGTTTTTCTTTGTATTTTTGTATTTTCTTTTTCTTATTAAACTTTTTCTTATATTGATGAAGACTTTCTGCTACCTTGCCCAAGTCTCTTTAGGGGGAGCCATAATCCCATATTTATAGCCAGCTTGTTACCATGGAAATTACTCTAATGTCGCCAAATCAATATTTTGATTTTTTTGTCATTTAAATAGGAAGAAGAGTAGAGCTAAGATTTATAAATCTCATTTAAAAGCTTTGATAAGTTTGATAAGTAGAAATATTGTGAAAAAAAAACATATGTTGAAGTCACCCATTCTAGTCAACCCCTTATTATCTGAAGTGGGTAGAAGTGGGAAGAAGGAATTGATGAAACAGTGAAACAGATAACCTAAAGAAGAATGAATTTTAGGGGGTTTATTTCATTCAGAGACTGTGATATAAAGTCACCAACATCTGCAAACACACACACTCAAGCACTTATTTCCTACAATTTCTCAACATGGAAGATCCTGCACCTCCTGCCTAATAGTATTTAAAATTATTTTTTAAATCAAAATTGATTTTATCAGATTCAGTAGCCATGCTTAATCACATATTCAACTCCATCCATTCATCAAGCGCTTAGCACTTGACTTTCACATAGTAGGGATTTAATAAATGAGTGTTGAATTTAGCAAAAATTGACATGTATACCTCTGTCATATTGAAAACCTTGGAACTCAACTCAACAAATGGCAGAAGTAGGTGGTTTTCTATTTATAGATCATTGAGATTTTACCTCTTCTAGCTAAAAAGCAGTGGGAAAAGAAGAATCTCTCCTCTGAGACAATGAGAAGCATCTCTTCATCAACCTAGAGCTGCTCTGGATCGAAAGGTCAGCTTGCCTCTAAGTCATTGATGATGAATTTTCTCTAGCTACCTTTGGCAAGGACTTTTGGAAATGGGATTCCTACTATGCTCTAGTATTTAGTAACCCTTGCTATTCATTAAGTTTTCTTTTGAATCTGATTGAAGTCTTCTTTTTTTCTGCAATGTCTTGAAGTCATTCTTCTAGTTTGATCTCAGAGAGAACAGAGATTGATGTTTCATTACTGGACAGCCATTTTGAACCTTTGAATCCTGGAAGTAAAAGTGACCCTTATAGATATGTTCTGTATTGCCTACTTCCTTCAGGAAGTTATACACCTAAAACATCACAGATAGAATGTATTCAGGATGATTTTTAAGATTATTCTTAAACTATCCCCTAAAATATTTCTTCCCTAGGTCAATAATTGTAATTCTTTACATTATAATTTGCTGAACATCAATTACTAGGGTTTCTTAAAAATGTTAAACTCCTTTAGATTTTTATTTTATTTTGTTGTTGTCCGATCATGTCTGACTTTTCATGACTCCATTTGGGATTTTCTTGGCAAAGATACTGGAGTGGTGTGCCATTTCGTTCACCAGTTCATTTTATAGATGAGGAAAGTGAGGCAAACAGTGTTAAGTACTCACCCAGAGTCGCACAGCTAGTAAGTGTCTGAGGCCAGATTTTTAACTCAGGTCTTCCTGATTTAAGGTCTGGCACTCTATCCACTGTGCCACCTAGCTGCCCCTTTCATTTTAGTAAATCCTCATATATATATATAGATATAGATATAGATATAGATATAGATATAGATATAGATAGATAGATAGATAATTATATATATATATTATATATAGATAGATAGAAAGATAGAAAGATAGATAGATAGATAGATATAGATAGATAGATATGTATAGATCTATCTATATCTATCTATATAGATATATATATATCTATATAGATATATATCTATATAGATATATATATATCTATATAGATATATATCTATATATGATAACTTACTAAAATATCTATATTGATAGATAGATAGATATAGGTATCTATATATAGATAGATAGAGATATCTATATAGATAGATAGATAGATAGATAGATAAATATAGATAGATATAGATATAGAGCTATAGAGATAGAGATAGATAGAGATATATAGATATAGATAGATATAAATTCATATTTTTTAAATTTAAATAATTTTATAAATTACAATTTTATAATATTTATAATCCAAAAAAAACTGATATAGTAAGAGGTGGATTTTTTTCCTGCATTTTATCTCCTCTTCCTTTTTTTTTTTAACAGATCTATGGGCATAACAGTGTCTCTAAAGCTCTACTTATACTAATCTAGCTACTAGCAATATAAAGTATCAAGTGCATAACTATAAACATGGAAGTAAATGAAAAATGGCCTCAAACCACCATGAGAAAAGTTGTCAAAAAGCCAATGTTTCCTGACTTCTTTATTTTTTCTCATCATTAGTTTTCTCTCCATTTACAAAGTATCTTGTATATATATACTTGATGATATAAATTCTGTGCTCCCAAGGGAATGGAAACTCCTTGAATATAGAGACTTTAGTTTTGACTCCATAGCCCTTACCTTCAGTCAGTCAGTTAAGTCATGTCTGATTCTTCCTGACCCCATTTGGGGTTTTCTTGGAAAAGATACTGGAGTGGTTTGCCATTTCCTTCTCCAGCTCATTTTATTGATGAAGAAACTGAGGCAAACAGGGTTAAGTGTCTTGCCCAGTAAGGGTCTGAGGCCAGATTTAAATTCAGGAAGATGAGTCTTCCTGACTCCAGAACTAGCAGTCTATCCACTGTACCACCTATCCCCTGGCACAAGGTAATAAATATATAGTGAATAGATAAATATAATAAACACATAGTGAATAGAATTGAACTTCATAGATGAGGCCCATAACATCTCACTCAGAGTAGTGACTCAAACCAGTGATCTCATTTTGCATGAGAGTCTAATAAACTTACAAATCTAGTTTGCTAGCCTATGATGATGAGAAGTAGCAAGTTAGAAGTGGGGGTGGGGGTTGCTATTATCAGCAGGCAGATGTGCAAATACAGAGGAAAGAAAAGTACTGAAACTGAAAGCAAGGGACCTGGATTCAAATCTCAGGACTGCTATTTAATATTAGAGAGACCTTAGAAAAATTGCCTAACCTCTCTGTGCCTCAGTCCCTGAGCAGTAAAATGAGAGAGTTGAGCCAGATGACCTTCAAAGTCAGCTCTAAACCTGATCCAAAGCTCCTAAGTGAATGAAAGCCACTGGCCTGCTTATATGGGATGATAAAGGAGAGAAATAGGAAAACAAGAACATGAACTTACAAAAGTATACCTATCTAAGGTCATACAGTGTAAGGGGGAAAAACTTTATTTAACCTCAGGATCTGCTCTTACTAAATGGAAAAAAATGTTCATCTAAAGGATGATTCCAATTTTGCAAGACAAAGTTGTTATTTGTGGTGGAATACTACTGTGCTATAAGAAATGATGAGCTAAATGAGCTCAGAAAAACATGGAAAGACTTGAATGAAATAATGAAGAATGAAATAAGCAGAACCAATAGAATATTGTATACAGCAACAGCAATCTTGTTTTAAGAACAACTTTGAGTGAATAAGTTATTTTGACTATTATAAATATCCAAATTAACTATAAAGGACATATGAAGAAAGGTGCTATCTGCATCCAGAGAAAGAACTGATAGATAGAAGTATATATAGAATAATTTTACATATATACCTATTTGTGTCTCATGGTAGCCATCTCTAGGATGGGGAGGGGAAGGGAAGAAACAAAAAAAAGAGAGAGAAATGAATAGCAAGTTGTACATAATAGACTTGCAGTTTCATGCTCAATTCTCTTTTTTTTAGTAATACTATGTTATGGAAATGCTTAATACCATAAATTAAAAATAAATAAATGTGAAAAGACAAGGTTGTTATTATTGATATATTCTGCAAAATATAGAAAGAAAATTAGAAATAAACCTTCACAAATGCATATACACACATTTATTTTATATTAAAACAACAGCAATAACATAGAGGCTTAAAAAAGCAATCATCCCCATTTGGAAAATTCATCTAAATAAAACTTATTTCTCAACAATGATGGCTAGCACATGAGTATAAGTTAATCCAAAAAGAGATAACATTCTACCTTAATTCATTGTTTTTCAAAGAACTGCCTGCAATTCAGGCATGATTACGGGACCATGAAGCCTAATTACATTTGGAATATTGTGCACAATTGAGGAAAACAGCTGTTCGTTAATTTGCTGACCTTATTGTTTCGTCTGAAATAAATTTCTAGTTTAAGTAGGAACCACGTGATTTACCTTCTGTCCTCTCGGGGAGTCTCACGCTTTTACCCGTTGCTGTGGCGTTGACGGTCTCTGATGAAGTGCTCAGTTTTGTACTGGGGTCCCGCTTTGGCTTTGGTGGAGGCTGTCTCCGAGAGCCACAGCTGCTGTCATCATCCGTACCCCCCACTGAGTGAAGAGACTGGGACCTCACGGAAAAGCCACTCGAACAAGGATGAGGAAGTCTGTCCTGAGGAGCAGGCATGGTCATAAATCCCATTCGGAAATGTTTGCCCACATAACTTCCTTCGTGTCCTCGCCCAACTTCTCCACCTATGCTGTAACAGAAAAGGGGGGGGGAGTCTGTGAGAAGCCCACATATAAATCATCCCGAAGTGTCATTGATGTATATTATAGGTGATTCCTGAAAAGTTGAGAATGAACATATTGTTGTGAATGAATTCACACTTGAAATGAGGGTTAGACATGGAATTAGGTTAGGGTTGGAGTTCAGGTTTCCCTCTCTTCTGTAACCTGTCTGATTACTTCATTGTTCTGAAGATTTGTAATTTCTTCCTTCCACTAATACAGATTATGACCCTTTGATGAATTTTTTTGAGAGTTGTTGCGCTAATTGTTGACTTAGTGCTAATCTTCTCTGAACATTAGTCAATTTCGGCTCTCCCTGAGTCATATCTGAAAACTTCACTTCCTTAGTCTTTCCAGAGGTTGTGTTCCATTAGTATAAGCTTTGACAATCCAAGGACATCTCTATGCCATAATGAAAAGTTAAGTAATTGATCGAGTTTTTTTTTTATTTCTTTAATTCTGAATTAGGAAAAGTTCCATTCAGTCTCGTTATGGTCTAGGCGTGAAAGTAGTATATGAAAGCAAAGTCCAGATTCTAGTGGGTGTCAGAAAGTTGGGGAGACTTTGAGAACCATTTCTACCTTTTTAGTATTATAGGGTAATAGATTTGGGTCTGGAAAGGATGTCAGAAGTTTGGTGTTCTATAGGGTGAGGCCTATATTGAGCTTTCCTATTCTGTTTCCCATTAAAGAGCATTGTCAAGAGACAATGTAAAGGAAGGTTTTGTTTTTGTTTTTGTTTTTGTTTTGTTTTGTTTTGTTTTATTGTTGTTTGTTTGTTTTCCCTCTCTAATGAATTTAAAGCAAAAACTAATATTGACAAATCACCATCTAGTATTTAGTGCTCTGAAACTACCTGTCTCTAAGCCTTTACTGACTAGGAAATGGAGCTTGGAGAGAGATACCATCCACGTTTCAGTGAAGCAATGAAACTAAGACATCAATTATTACCTTGCTAGCAGAAGCAAAAAGTATTGAGGTAGGTAGGTGAAATTCTTTGCCTCATGGGTTCACAGGATCCTAGATTTAGAGCTGAAAAGGAACACTGAGCCTGTATAGTCCAATGAGATCATTTTACAGATATGGAAATTGAGGTCCATCTCTATGAACCCAAGGTCAAACGTAGAGGCAGGATTAGAGTTTTCTCCCCCAGTCCCTAGGTGTCTTTTCACGTCCTTTCTTATTTCTATTTGGTGCCCCCTACTATCCCTAACTCACTATCTTTTTCCCCCTCAAATTATCCTTTATTATTTAATCCTGTAAATTAACTTGTGCACAGGCATTAATAACTGATAATTTGTGTTATCTTTCCATGATAATCTAGTTGAATTGTATATGGCCTGTGATGCTTTTACACAAAAAAGTGAACAATGTTGTAGGAAATTTATGATAACAAAAGATAACTGATGGAAATAATGTTGGACACGGAAATATTTGGACACCTTTTACTGTGAATTAATATTGACCTCTAACAGTTACTATGTTATTTTCTACTAGAATGAGAAAAGGAGATAGTAACACTTGTAATACTCATAAGGTTGAACTGTATAACATTAAATCTGGACCCATTCATTCTGCCAATGAGGAGAGTAGGGCCTAGAGATGTTACAAAATTTCCCAAAGTCATACATCTAGTGTACTAACCAAACACTCAAGTACAAGGCACTGAAGCAAGAGTTTGGAGACCTGGGTTCTTCCCCCTAGCTCCCTTTGTGACCTTGGGCAAGTCACCTCCCCTAGCTGCAGTTACCTTATCTGCAAAATGAAGGGTTAGGTTTAGCTAATCTCTAAGGCCTCTGCCAGAAATTACATTTCATGACCTGCTTTACATTTCAAAGCCATTATTTGAAGTGTTTCCCCTAGCCAGGAGCATTCTTTCCATATAGGAAGAAGTAGCAGAGATATATAGAATCTCAATGAATCACAGATGTTGGCAGAAGCGGAATAGAAGAAACAAAAATATTCTAAGCACTATTTTTGTTGTAGTCATTCTGGAAGTGAGGAAAGGAAACAAAAGGGATCCACTAGACGATACCTGTAACTGCATCAGATTTGTTTCAAGTTTTCTTTCTTTTTTCTTTATTTTTTTATGATGTGGTAGGGAATATTCTGATCGTGATGTCAAGTGTTTACAAATATATCAGGACTTCTGATAGCCCTTTCAGGCACATGAAGAAAACAGGATAGTGTATTCTATGATCCAAGTTGATAATTTAAAGGGAAGTCATTGACAGGAAGGGCAGTTGGGTGGGGCAGTGGATATAGTACAGGGCCTGGAGTCAGGAAAACATCTTCCTGAGTTCAAATATGGCCTCAGATCCTTACTGAGCAAGTCTATTTGCCTCAGTTTCCTCATCTATAAAATGAGCTGGAGAAGGAAATGGCAAACCACTCTAGTATCTTTGCCAAGAAAATCCCAAATGGGGTCATGAAGGGTCAGACATGACTGAAAAACTATAAAAGTGGACAGGAGGCAAAAACAGGTAACATAGAAATAATAAATAAATCACATTTATATAATGCCTAATCTTTGCATTTTATTTTCCTCACACAAATTTTGTGAGCTAGATATTGCAAAAATAACCTTTCTCATTTTGTAGATGAAGCAACAGACTCAGAAAGGTTAGGTATTTTACTCAAGGTCACAAAACTGGTAAACGTGAAGGTTTGAGCTTCAAAGCCAGGTTCCGCCTAAATGTAAGTTCAACACTCTCTCCACTCTACCACACCTGAGTATAGTATAACTCAGATATTTTGGAAAATAGCTGTAACTGTGGAAGAATGCCTGCTTGGAGAGGAATGTCTATGCTAAGGTTCAAATCCTGCCTCAGATACTTAGGTAAGACAAGTCATTTTAATTCTCTAAGCCTCTTGTTCTTCCATAAATTGGGACTTTCAATAGCGCTCCCCTTTTAGGAGGACTATAAGTGACAATGTATGCGATGCTTTGCAAACTTTAATGATTACGCGTTTTTCACTTTACCAATATGATATATGTGTATGTCTGTGCACATATCTATGTGTGTATACATATATACATATACATTGAAAGTATATACATACATACACATACACACTTACATATATCCTGACAAACTTTCCAGCCATTGACTATCTTTTGATTACAATTACAAAGAGTTAGGATGTTGCTGGGGTTAGGGGAAAGGCAATATCGCTATTATTTTCTGTTATCTAAGTGGCAAAGTTGGCAAATTTCATGTGTCTCATTACCCATATATTCTAGGAACATGGAATTGATAGTCCCATTATGTATGTCCTCGGTCAGATTACAACAAGAATATGCCATTCCATTCTGAGCGTCTTATTTTAGGAAGAAAGTTGTTTGGAAAATGTCATCCAAAGAAGGCAACCAGGATACCAAGTGAGGAACTGTTGAATGAACAGGGGATGTTCAGCATAGAAGGAAAGTCCAGGGAACTAAATTGTTGTCTTTGGATATTTGAAGGCCAGTCACGGGGAAGAAAAATTAAACTTTTATTCTATTTGGCCCCAGAGAGCAGAAACCAGTATCAATGGGGAGAAGTAGCAAACATGCACACAAACAGACAAACACACACACACACACACACACACACACACACACACACACAAAAATAGGCTTGAGGTCAAGAAAACAACTTCCTGTAAACTGGAGCTATCCAATTGTATGAAGAGATGCAAAGTGAAGTGAGCAGAACCAGGAGAACTTTGGACACAGTAACAGCAATATTGTATGATAATCAACTGAATGAATTAGCTTTTCTGAATGACACAATGATCCAAGACAAAGAACTTATAATGAAAAATGTCATCCACCTCCAGAAAAAGAGCTGATGGAGTCTGAACGCAGATTGAAGCATAATTTTTACATCATTTATTTTTCTTGCTTTTCTTTCTTTGTTTTTTTCTCTCTCTCTTTTTGCAACATGGCTAATATGGAAGTACATTTTGCATGATTTCACGTGTATAATTGACATCACTTTCCTTGCTTTCACAATGTGTGGGGGAGGGGAGAGGGAAGGAGAATTCGGAACTCAATTTTTTAAATGAATGATAAAAATGGATAATGTTTATTTTAAAATTCACCTCTTACCAGAACTGAAGAATTCTCACCCTGACACATGCGTAGTAAAGAAACTGTTTGATCTTGTCATGATTTGAACTCTCCCATTATTATTAAGTAGATGCCAATGACATATATTTGTATTCTCTAACAGGAAGGAAAGTTTCTTTAAAAATTTAATAAGCATTCTCCCCTCCTCCCCCAAAAAAGCCACAGAGAATAAATGTTTCATCACGGCTTAATAGTTCTAGGTTTAATCACTCATAAAAATAGAGTTATAGGATTAGGGCAGTAAGTCTTGAGTCTGGTATCCTCCACATGGTTACCAAAGTGAATTTCCTAAAGCTACAGCTGACCAAGTCATTATTCTACTCAATATTACCCCAAGACCTCTAGGATCAAGTACAACTTCCACTCTTCGGCACAGAAAACCCTTCACAATCTGACTCCATGCTCCCATTGTTACACTTGTTACAAACAGTACCAAACATAAAGTGGGAACCAAATAAATATTTGTTGACTAATTATCTGACTGACTTCATGTACTCTACAATCCAGCCAAACTGGCTTTCATCATTTTCCTTATACATGGCACAATTTTTCCCATCTCCAAGCCTTTGCATTGGCTGTCTCCAATACTTGAAATGCACTACCTCCTCGCATGAGCTTGTTCAAATCTGTTTTGTCTAAGGATCAAATCAGATGTTGTAGAAGTCTACATGAAACCTTTTCTGTTTCCTCAAATTTCTAGTGCTTCCCCCAAAAATAATTATCATATATGTGTGTGAGACCTTATATACATTGTGATATTGTGTATATATTTACCTAATTCATACCTACATTCATCTCATACAGCTTGATGGCAAACTCCATAAGGCATTCTTTATTGCACTTTTTGTCTTTGTGT